AGTTGGGAGATTGATTATGTGCGGGTTGGTTCGATGAATCTGCCGAAAAAAAGAAGACCCCTTTATCCCTAATGTTTCTGGCTCTCCTAACAAATGTCCCCATCAAAGGGTCAGGGGTTCCTTGTTGGTTAATCAAGATCGACTTGGCGAGCGCCTACCTTGCAGGCAAGAGAACCAGAAACAGCGTCCCACTGGCAAGGCGCAGCAAGGACGCAAACTCAGGTACGATGCTCCAGCCAAGATGGGGGCGGAATGGGGAACGTCAGGAGTGGGGCAGCAGCATCACCAGCAGCAGTGCACGGCTCGGAAGCTGAATGGTCTTGGGATTTTATTGCCCAGCCTCCCCCGTTTGGATGCCTTCTATGTTAGCGTTGCGAACGGGGGGTGAGCGAGGTCCCCTGAGCTTGCCGATTGAAAGCCGGCCTGGCCTCCAGAACCCCCCGAGCCCCGAAGGCGAGGCATTCGAGGGCCCGTCACATGCCCCGAAACGGCTCGGCGGTCCAGGGATCCCCCTCGACCTCATCCCCGAACGGAAACTCAAACTCCAGATCGGGATTGGCGTCAGCCTGCATCTTCTGCGAGCTGGCGTAAGGGTTTTCAAGTGCATCGCCAACCAAATCCAGAGCCTCCGGGTGGACATGAGCCTTCGTTCTTGCCGCTTTTTCGGCGCGAGCTACTTTGGCTCGTGACGACTTGGAATCAGGGGTGGGGATAGAGAAAGGACGGTGTAATTGCGGCAAGTTCGCCGCCATGCGCAAAGAGTGTGTGAGAAGTTGGGATGTTGAGCCCTTTAAATCTAGGAGAAGCCCGCAGTGCGCTTTCCACGATGCGTCAATTGTGCTTTCGAGACGCGCAATGTATGGCACAACATTCGAGCTTACCAGGGCGCAATCGATCTCCGATCTTCTAGCAATGGCGGTGCATGCGACCGACGCGCTACAAGCAGTGAGGACGTCACCGTGAACCCGATCTACGAGCACCCGTCTCTTTAAAAGGTTGGTCAGCATGTTCCAGTAGGCGAATACTATCGATGACGCCTACTGCGAATCGACGCCGCCCCCTGCCTTTTGGAATCGCCCACGTGGCCGAACGTTGTGAGCAGAGCTCTGCCAAGCTATCGGACTATGTTTTCCACCAGCCGTTGTGGAAACCCTTCGAGGAACACGCGGGGGAGAAAGAAGAAGCGGAGCAGAGGGAGGACAAATAGAGGAGGAGGAGGAGGAGGAGGAGGAGGAGGAGGAGGAAGAGGAGGAGGAGGAGGAGGAGGAGGAATAAGAAGAACGCTGCGTGCTTTAGCATGGCGTCCGCGCAACCAAAAAACAAAGGAGGAGGAGGCAGAGACAGACGAGGAGGAGAAGCAGGAGGCGGAGGAGGAGGAGGAGGACTCTTGAGGCCTTCTGGGAGCTTCTCGTGGGCCTCTCGGATGCCTCTTGGACGCCTCCCTGGGCCTCTTGGGAGCCTCTTGCGAGCCTCTTGGGCCATCTTGAGGCCATGTTGGGCTATCTTGGATTCATCTTGGGCCGCCATGGAGACATCTTGCGGCCATCTAGGGCCCTCTTGGGGCGCTTAAGAGCCGTCTTGGAGGCCATCTTCACCGTCTTGGAGGCCTTTTGGGCCGTCGTGGGGCCATCTTCGGGGCCTCTTAGGCGATCTGTTTGGGCCGTCTTGGGCCCTTAGAGGACCGAAAACATGCAAAAGCCACACACCTCCAAACACCCGCGGAACAAAAACAATGATTTTGGCCTTTTCGGCCCTTCCTGACGGCCCGTTTGGAGGCCTCTTAGACCGTCTGAGGCGGCCGTCTTGGGCTCTTTGGGACCATCTTCGCGGTCTTGGAGACAGTCTTGGAACCATCTCGGCCGTCTTGGAGGCATCTTGATCACCTTGGAGGCTATCTTCAAGCCATCTGAAGCGAAAGAGCCGACGAGACAGGAAGCCGGCGCTCTGCGCCGAATTCCCAGGGGGGGTTCTAAAAGAGCCATAACATTTTTCAGAAAGTCCAGCACGCCGGGCACCCCCGTGGCAAGCCAACAGGGCGGCGGATGACGGAAAGCGCGCCTCGCGCGCGATCCGTTAGCCGGGAGAACTGAGACCGGGGGGAGTCCGAGAGGGGCGGCAGGCCGACCCCCAGATGACGGAAAGCGCGCGTAGCGTGCGATCCGCCAGTCGGGAGGACTTGAGCCGGGGGGGAGATCGAGGGGGGGCGGCAGGCCGACCCTCAGATCGAATGGCAGGAGTTGCCGGCCGAGAGACCTCCAGAGGCCTTAAGATGTCCCAAGACGGTGCAAGGTGGCCTCCACTCCACGACGGCTCCAGAGGGGTCACGAGGCTTCTAGCTTCGCCGAGAAGGCCTCGAAGACGGCTGCAGAGGCCTCCAAGACGGTACAAGAGTCCTCCCGGACGCCCCAAGAGGCCTCCCCAGAGGGCCCAGAAAAGCAAAATTCAATGTGGTCCGATAGTGTTTGAAGGTGTTTGGGATTCTCTCCTTTTCGGCTTCCCGACGCTCCCAGACCTCCCAAGAGGCCCCTCAGATCGCCCGCAGACGGCCAAAGCGGCCCCCAAGACGGCCCCAAGACGGCCCCAAGACGGCCCCAAGACGGCCCCAGAGGCTTCCAAGACGGCCCCAGATGCCTCCAAGACGGCTCCAAGATGGGGCCCGGACGGGGCACTCGAACGGATTTTCCGGGTCGTCGCCCCCGAGAGGCCCCTAAGATGCGCCCAAGAGGCCCCCATGAGGCCCTCCCCAAGAGACCCAAAAACAGCCCCCAAGAGGCCTCACAACTCCCTCGCCCGAGGAGGAGACAGAAGAAGAGGTGGAGGAAGAGGAGGAGGAGGAGGTGGAGGAGGTGGAGGAGGAGAAGGACCGAGGAGCGAGGAGCGAAGAGAGAGGAGGGAGGCGCGAGGCGCGAGGAGCGAGGAGCGAGGAGCGAGGAGCGAGGAGGATAGGGGAGGAGGAGGAGCGAGGAGCGATGCGCGAGGAGCGAAGAGCGAGGAGCAGGAGGAGAAGGCGCGAGCGAGGAGGAGGAGGAGCAGGAGGAGCCAGGATCAGCGAGGACCAACGAGGACGAGCGAGAACGAGCGAGGAGGAGAAGCGATGAGCGAGGAGGAGGAGGAGGAGGAGGAGGAGGAGGAGGAGGTGAAGGAGGAGAGGATATCTAATGGCACAATTTTCGGTAATGTTCGGTCCTAGACGGCCCCAAGACGGCCCAAGAGGGCTCACCGACGGCCCCCGAGGGCCCCATGACAGCCCAAGCCCCCCAAGGCGGCCCAAGAGGGCCCCAGGACGACCCGAGAGGGCCCCAAGACAGCCCGAAGGAGCCCAAAAAGGACCCCCATAAGGGCCCAGCGAGGCCATACTCACTGATGTTCGCAAGGTTGTTTGTTAGTTGTTGTATGACGTGCCAACGTCTGAACGCCAAGAGGGCTCCAAGACACTGGGCAAGCGATCTCGCGCCTTCACAGAGTGCGAGCGCTGCCCGTCCCCGTGCCAAGCAGCTGACAGAAAGAGTGACGTACGAGCGATGGACGTTCCGGTGGGGCGAAGCCCTTTAGGGCGGGGGGTTCAGGGGAGGGGGGTAAACCGCGAAAGAAAATGATAACATGCCCTTTCCCTCCAAGGCCTGCCTCCGAGGCGCCCAAGACGGCCCAAGATACTCCGAAGACGGCCCAAGAAGCCCCCGAGAGGGGTCCCAGAGGGCTCCAAGACGGCCCCAGGGCGTTCTAAAAGAGCCCCAGATCGCCCAAAAGCGTTCCCAGATGGCCTCCGATGGCGTCGAGACGGTCCGAGAGAGCCCTGGGACGCCCCAAGGGGCCTCCAAGAGGCCCTTTTAGCAGGGCTCACAGAGACAAAATCCAGTGATGGTCTTCAGGTTATTGTATGATTTTGGCCTTCGCGCCTTTTCGGCTTCCCGACGCTTCAATACGGCCCAAGAGGCCCTAAAGATCGCCCTAGGGCGGCCCAAGCAGGCCCCAAGACGGGCCCAAGATGGCTCAAGGACGGGCGAAGAGGGCCCAAAGACGGCCCAGGAGAGCCTTACGAGAGCCTCCCCAAGAGGGCCCCACGAGGCCCCCAAGAGGGCCCCAACACGGCCAGAGCATCCCAAGACGGCCTAAAAGGACCCCAGGGACGGTCCAAGAGGACCCCGAGCACAAATGTAGAACCAATGATATGTGAGTACGTTTTCTTGGACCACAGCGGGCCAGAATGAACCATTCCAGGCATCCGCGGGCCAGGATGAACCATTTCCAGTACCCCAAAGGGGCGATAATCCTGGAGCTGCAGCAACCCATTGCCTTACGACCCCGCCCCCCACCCCTGGGACCCCCCCCCAGTCCGAGAAGGGGCAAAGGGAAGGGTTTACGACATTGTTCGATCATCTTGAGGTGGTCGATCTCGCTTACGACGACAACGATTCAAAGGAGGCTGACGTACTTCAGTTTGGGTTGGACTGTCCTCGCGTCGAATAGCCTCTCACACACGCCGACTGCATCGGCGGCGGATCTGGACACGGCCCCTCCTCCGCGCTGTGCGCCCCCAGACGCATGCGCGAAGCGCAAGCGCACGCGCGCGATGATGTTGCAGTCAAGTCGCCGAAATCGGGCGACGAAATCTATACATATCCACTGCTCCCTGACCATGCCCATCTTGAACCCAGGAGCTGTGTATGCGCCCTCCTGGCCAAGCCAGGAGGGCGTGGCGTATACACCGCTGCCGGGTTGAGGATGGGCCTGGCCAGGGAGCAGTGGATATGTATAGATTTCGTCGCCCTACGAAAGAAGAACCACGCTCGATGCGGATTCGCTATCGGGGGGACTGTCGCCGATCTATCGGCGGCGCATCGCCGATTCCAGCTCGCTGTTTGCGCCCCCGAGTCGGTCCCCCCCTCTCGTGAACTGTGGGCGCGCGTGTGCGGTGTTCTGTGTTCTGCTCATGCGCAGGGGGGCCCAGTGCGATTGAAAGAGCCCCTGTTGGGGTGCGGGGAGCCGCGTCGTCTGGCCAGGACGGCTCGCGCACCCTGACCATTACGGAGTTCATCAACGGCTGCAAGAAGCTCAAGGGCACGGCACAGAGCAAGGACCTCCTCGTGATCCAGGCCCAGGCGGACATCCTTTCCACCAAGATGGAGGGCCTCGGAAGGCCTCGAGTAAGAAACACTAGCATAAACATGTATATAGATATATACATACATATATATATATACATATATATATATATATATATATATAAATAAATATATATATATATATACATATATATAGTCGAGCAGATCCGTGCTGATTCCTTGGGTCGGTGCGGGGCCCTCCCGGCAGCGCCCCTGGCGACGCCCCTGGCGCTCTCCGCGCCCCTGGGAGGGGCCCAGCGCCGATCCAAGGAACCCGCGTGGATCTCAGAACATTGATGTTGTCTGTCTCTTCTTCGAAGGTCCCTGGAGGACAGCGCCCGGATGATGACCATCCTCGATGCGATCACCTCGCGCACCGACCTCCGCTTCGCGTCCTCCGTAGAGGGGGCCCGGCGGAGGCAGGCGAGCAACGCTAGCGGCATGAAGCCCATGAAGCCAATAGAGAAGACAAAGAGCAGCACCACGAGGCAGAAGATGACCATGGGCAATTGCCCAGCGCTCCCGCTGTTCCCCGACCTGCTCCGCTGACACGGGTCGGAGTTGAGAGGCGGCCAGACGTATTCAGCCGATCTTCCCTGGCTGCGCATTTGGGGGTCGGTTCCGAACTTCCTTCGGAGGGTGGCCAGTCGAGATACCGGTGGCCCTCCTTGTCGGGGGGCCGCCCAAAGGCTTCTCGTCGCCACGGCTGGATTCGCTTCGAAAAACGGGTCAGGATGGACCGCGGGAAGGGTCCAGAGATAGATTTTGAGTGAATTCTAGACGCTTCGCGTATCCCCACCAGCCCATCCAGAAACCGTGTCCAGACGAGTTGCGGTGATCAGGGAAGTGCGGAAGCAAAGAGGGGAACAACCGATCCGTGCGAACGAGGGAGGAGGACGATGAGAAAGAGGAGGTTGGATGGATGTATGGATGAGGGAGTGGGGAGAAGGAAGATGCGTAGGATGAGGAGGAAGAGGAAGAGAAGGAGTAGGAGGAGAAAGGAGGAGCAGGAGGAGAAGGGCAAGCAAGGGGGCCAGAGGTCTCTTGGATGCCTCTGGGAGCCTCTTGGGATATCTCTTTGGCGCTTCTTGTTGGCCTCTTGGGACGTCTTGGGGGCCTCCTGGGGGCCTCTTGGGGGCATCGTGGGGCCATCTTGGGGCCATCTTGGGGCGTCTTGGGGGGTTCTGGGCGCTTCTTTGGGCCATCTTGGAGGACATCGATCAAAGAAGGGGATGGTCGCAATTCGCCAAAATGGGGCCAACACCTTAGCAAAACCAGTGATTTTGGCTTCCTCGCCGAGTCCGTTTTGGACGCCCTGACCGCTCGCGAACCCCCCCCCTCCAGGTCCAGGGGAGGGGGTTCGGGGGGATGGGTAAACCCCTCCCCGAAGGGGAAGAAGGGGGTGGAAGAGGAAACTCTCTAAACCACCCACGCCCAGAGGGCTGGTGTGATTTGGGTTGGGCGGGAGCCGCCGTTGTCTCGTTGGCCCTCGCCCACTGCTCATAGCTGTCTCCCGCTGCTCGGGGTTGATCCTCCCTCGCTTCCGCACGAGCAGCGGGGTCCTTTAGGCCGCTCTCGCTCCGCTGAAGACTGCTTGCAAGCCTTCTGCTGCTCCTCCTCCTCCTCCTCCTCCTCCTCCACCTCCTCCACCTCCTCCTCCTCCTCCTCCTCCTCCTCCTCCTCCTCCTCCTCCTCCTCCTCTCTGGCTCCTCTTCCGTCCTCGCCCCGTCCCTCCTCCCCGCCTGCTCCCCCTCTTTCGCCGTAGCCCTGTCCTCCTTCCTCTAGCCTCTCGCCCTCCCTCCTTCCCTCCTCCTCAGCGTTCGTGATGGGTGATAGGGGGCAGCTCATGGCAGCTCATGAGCCCAACCCGACATCGACAGGATGACGCCTACCCCCCAAGGGCGTCAGCGCTACTCTACGATCCTCTTCCTCCCTCCTCATCCTCCTCCTGCTTCCGTCGTCCTCCCTCCTCCTCTTGTTCCTCGTTCCGTCCTCCTCTGTTCAGGCTTGCCGAGGGGCGTGGCTTCTGGCAGGTGCCGCCATGCCTCCCCCCCGCGCCGCAGGCCGTTCCCCATGGGTCGTGGCTGCACGGCTCGACGCGGTCGCGGACCACGCTCCAGCTGAGGGTATCGGGACCAAGCCTGTGGTCCAATGTGTCATTGGTGTCCCTGGCCAGTCGGGACGCAGGCACATTCTACAGCATCCCCAGTCTAGCAAGGAGCAAGACAAACCGGTTGCCGCGGTCGACAAAGGGCACGTGTTCGACATTGTTAGATCTCCCAGTGTCGTCTCTGGCTTCACCCTACGCCTCGTGCTTCGGTCGCCGATCTGCCTGGCTCATGTCCTGGCAAGGATAATGGTGGCGATGACCAGGGTAAAGGTTCTGGTAGTCTGCGGCATCCACGTGGTGTGCCTGCTCACGACGACCCATGGTGGGGTGGTGGTGGCCCTTGGACTAGGGGTGTCCTGCCTCACAGCGGCGGTGGTGCCACTAGGCACGAGGCTCCTCTTCACCATGCTGATGGGCACGGTGACCTCCCTGATCTCGCGAAGTTCATGATGCTGTTCATTTGGGGTGGTGGTGATGGTGGTCGGATTCCTGCAGAGAGAACTGCCGTGGTGAAACACGTCGAGGCGACCGCGGTGAGGTGTTTCATTGAGGGAGCGGTCGCGGCGTGGTTTTTCTTGCCGATGGTAGGGCTCTTCGTCACGAAGAGTGTTGTCGTTCTCCCTGCGGGCGGGAGTGGTCGTGGCGATCTTCATCTTGTACTGAGGTGATATTGACAACCTTCGGCGAGTCGATGAAGGAAGCTCCGGTATCCGTATTCTTCATCCAGGCGGGTGGAGTGGTCGTGACGATCGTAAATAAGTAGAACGTGGTCTCGATGATCGTCGTTCAGTTCTTGAAGCAGGCGTTGATCCTCATGGTTCGGGCGGGGTCGGTGGGAATGGTAGTGTTCCTTTGTTGTTGTCCTTGTAGAAGTGTTCGCGGCGACTTCGTTTTTGAAGAGGGTGATCTCAATGAAGAAGAAGAAGAAGAAGGAGTCGAAGATATTCGCCGGTTTCGGTGCCGAATCGCGAAAGGCCTATACTTGGCCGCTGTGCTGATTGGCGGCCTGTCAGAACGTCCTGGTCCTCACGTTTGTTCTGGCCGCCCTCTTGGATGCCAATAGTCGTTTCGGCGAGGCGGGACTGCCCCACCCTGTACGGCCACTGCACCTAGGGAGCTCGTGTTTGCTGGAGCTGGGGTGGGTGATGTTATCCTCTTCCTCGTCGTCCTCCTCCTCCTCTTTCCTGCTACCTTTCTCGCATTCCTTCCTCGCGCACGCTCCTCTTCCGTCCTCCCCCCTCCCTCCTCAAGCTGTGATGGCGCACCCCGCTCCTCAAAGAGGACTGGCGGGAAGTGTGCGCGCTTTGGCGAGGCGCGCAGCTTGCACCCTCCACGTCCGAACAGAATTTGATCATACCGATCGCCATCGCTCCCCATCCTTAGACTATCTTGCTCTACAGCCCACAGGCCACCTCGTCGTCGCACTCCTCCCCTCGCATCACCCTCATGGCCTGGACGATTCTCCGCAGCGGTGGTATTCCCCCGCTGATGTCTGTTACCTCTCCTCTTGTTACCCCCTTAGGTTACCCTTCGTCATGTTGCTCGTGTTCCTCTCGGTGCCGACATCTTGATGGGCAGGCCGATTGAAGTAGCATGCTCACTTGCATACGCCTCGCGCAAGGCACATTCCTGGACAGGCTGACAGGATGTGATTTGTCCGCGTTTGTGCTCTTGTTGTCGTGTTTCCTCAGCCCCGCCCCCCGCCATGTCTCCCCAACTTCCTCCTGCGCTGGAGGCTCATACAGATGATGTCCACCCGGTGGAAAGGCGACACCTATGACATGTTGCTGCCCTAGTGGAGAGATTGGCTCCGACGAGGCAGAGTCGTATTGGCCAGTGGCGGAATAGTTGGATGCGGAAAAGTCTTGGCAGAGTCAAGTGGTTGATGGGGTGGAGGAGGGCTCGGAGCAGGAGGAAGCGGCAAGGACGGCTGTCCAAACGAGCGGATGCAGCATCGTTGAACCTGACGTGCCAGTCAGTTGCAGCATGTATTATATTTGCCATCGGCGACCGACACGCACGGCCAAATGTGAGCTGAGCCCTGGGGGGTTATTTGAATCTCTCGGGCCGTTTTTGCGAACCTTGGGCACTCTGAGCGCTCTCATGGACCGTAGTATCACTGCTGGGCCATGCTGAGGCACTCTACGGGCCATCCTGAGCCCCGTCTGGAGGCTCTCGTGTGCGGCGCTGGCAGACGCGAGCTAGGAACATGCGGGAAGGAGAGGTTCGAGGAGCTTCGGTCTCCCGCGGGGGCGCCAAGGCAATCGCGCTCCGCGCGGCGCGGCCTGGGCTGGGGACTCGCCCTTGTCCAGGGCGGCCTCGCGAAGGCGCGAGGATAACCGCAGGTGACCCGGAGGACCTTGATGTGATGGCCTCGGAGCGCCTTAACCCCGTTCGTGGGACCAAAGGCCTGGTGCGCCACCATGGTGCGCCACCACAGGGCAACTAAGGAGCAAGACGATGGGATCGCTGAAGAGCTTCCAAGAGCCCCCGCTGGCTTTGCCCGAGCACCCTGTCCAGGTGACCCAGAGGAGCGGGAAGGGCCGGCTGGGCGCGCTCCAGCGTCCCTTGGTGGAGCCGGACCGCGGCCGTGTGGCGCACGAGGCCTGCGGCCAGCGCCCAGAGTGACTGCGACCATCATGCGGGCAGGGGCTGGCTACGCGAGAGAGCGACCCGTCGCCAGAGTTTTCGGATGTTGTTGTCGGGCCTCGAGATGCATGCTGTTCGGCAGCTGCGCCTCGCGGAAAGCATTCCGAGGGTGCCTGGATCGTCTCAAACGGCTGCCAGAGACCCGAGGCATGACCCCAAAGCCGAGTGACCCTTCGCCGGAGTGGCCTTTTTGGTGCCCAGTTTTCGGGGGGTCGCGCGGGGACCAACCCCAAGCATGCAGGCTGCTTTTGTCGCATCGCACGCAAAGATTGGCAAGCCGCGCGCCACAGGTCAATCTTGCCCAGGGTCTCTCCTGGCGTGTGTTCGGGAAGGCTCTCTGCCACCTGCCACGCATCACGTTTGCTTCTTCCCCGCATCTTGTGTGTGTGTGCCGAGGCTGAGCCGGAACTGCTGCCACTTCTGCGACGAGCTGTGCATGAAGCTTGATGTCGGCTCGCCATGTCTCCTTCTTCTCGTTTGGGAGGGGCGTGCATTGCGGGCCATCCTCAGAGGCAACGTTCCTTTGCTCATCCTCTTCCTGCTATCATTCCTCAAAATGGTACGCCTCCTTTTCGTTCCCATCGCTTTCCTCCTCAACCCCTTGGCGACCTCTCCTCGTTTCTTGCATCCCCCCCCCTTTCCTCAACACCATCATTATCTTCGCCCCCGCTCCTGCTCCTTCTCAGCATCCGCCCATCACGCCCTTCCCCTGATGTTCCTAGTGAAGCTGGCGTCAACCCCTGCTCCGTCTTCATCTCCAACTTCCCCTCCTTGTTTCTCCTCCATCTTCTCCCTCGTCAACCTCCTCTGCCCTGATCATGTTCCTCCATCCCTCTTCCTTTCCAATAAATCGTCCCTGTCGCACCCCCCAGACGTGTCAGTAGGTCGGGCATGGCTTTTCGCCTGCAGTTTCCTCACCATCTATGGCCTTGAAGCTTGAATTTTGAAACAGCTGCTGCTGTTGCTGATATTGCTGTTGTTGATGGTGATGGTGTTGTTGATTTTGTTGTTGCTGCTATTGTTGTTGCGGTTGTTGATCCTGCCGTTGTTGTCGTTGTCGTTGTTGTTGTTGGTGGTGGTGTTGTTGTTGTTGTTGGTGGTGCTGGTGTTGGCGTTGTTGTGTTGATCTAGATAGTATTGTTGTTGTTGCCGTTGCCGTTGCTGTAGTTGTTGTTGTTATGTGTTAGTTTATGGTGTTGGTGTTGATGGTGTTGATGTTATTGTTGTTGTTGGTGGTGGTGGTGTGTTTGCTGTTACTGTTCCCAACCATCCTGTGGTGTTGGGTCCTCGTTATGAAGCGACGGCCCCCGCGTTCCTCCTCCCGCCTCCTTCCTTCCCCTCCTCCAATTCCCTTGCCTCTGCCCTCCACATGCCCACCATTTCGGCACACCCCTCACACGCTTCGTGGCCCCATAGGGAGCTCCACCGACGGCCCAAGTGGCACTGCCCACATGCGTCAGTCAAAACCATTTTGGCACACCCCTCACACGTTTCGTGGCCCCATTGGGAGGTCCAAGGAAGGCCCCAGTGGAACCGCCCGCATGCGTCAGCCACCACCCAGCACAGCGTTTCGTGAGCCCATAGGGAGCTCCACCAAAGGTCCCATTGGGACCGCCCGTATGCGTCAGCCACCACCAAGCACAGCGTCGTGGTCCCATAGGGGGCTCCACCGGAGGCCCCATTGGCACCGCCCGCATGCGTCGGCCACCACCCAGTACATCGCTTCGTGGCCCCGTAGAGAGCTCCACCGAAGGTCCCAGTGGGACCGCCCGCATGCGTCAGCCATCACCCAGCACAGCGTTTCGTGGCCCCATACGGGGTCTCCACCGAAGGCCCCATTTGCACAGCCCGCATGCGTCGGCCACCACCCAGTACAGCGCTTCGTGGCCCCGTAGAGAGCTCCACCGAAGGTCCAAGTGGGACCGCCCGCATGCGTCAGCCATCACCCAGCACAGCGCTTCGTGGCCCCATACGGGGTCTCCACCGAAGGCCCCATTTGCGCAGCCCGCATGCGTCGGCCACCACCGTGGCCTCATCGAGAGCTCCACCGAAGGTCCCAGTGGGACCGCCCGCATGTGTCAGCCACCACCCAGTATAGCGCGTAGTGGCCCCATAGGGGGCTCCGCCGAAGGCCCCAGTGGCACCCCCAGTGGGACCGCACGCATGCGTCAGCCACCACCATGTACATCGCTTCGTGACCCCATAGAGAGCTCCACCGACGGCCCCAGTGGGGCCGCCCGCATGCGTCAGCCACTACCCAGTACAGCGCTTCGTGGCCACGTAGAGAGCTCCACCGAAGGTCCCAGTGGGACCGCCCGCATGCGTCAGCCATCACCCAGCACAGCGTTTCGTGGCCCCATACGGGGTCTCCACCGACGGCCCCAGTGGAACCGCCGCATGCGTCAGCAACCACCCAGTACAGCGCTTCGTCGGCCCACAGGGAGCTCCACCGAAGGCCCCAGTGGCACCGCCCGCTTGCGCCAGCCACCACCCAGCGCAGTGTTTCGTGGCCCCATAGGGGGCTCCACCGAAGCCCGCACTGGCACCGCCCGCATGCGTCGGCCAGACCCCAGTACAGCGCTGTGTGGCCCCATAGAGAGCTCCACCGACGGCCCCAGTGGGGCCGCCCGCATGCGTCAGCCACTACCCAGTATAGCGCTTCGTGGTCCCATAGGGAACTCCAAGGAAGGTCCCAGTGGGACCGCCCGCGTGCGTCGGCCAGAACCCAGTATAGCGCTTCGTGGCCGCATAGGGGGCTCCACAGAAAAACCCCAGTGGCACCGCCCGCATGCGTCGTCCACCGCCCAGTGATTGGGAGCTCCACCACGCCCCAGTGGCACCGCCCGCATGCGCCCCCCCCACCCGGTACAGCGTTTCGTGGCCCTGTAGGGAGCTCCAGTGGTCCGCCCGCAGGCGACCCCCCGCCCATCACAGCGCTTCGTAGTCCCATGGGGGGCTCCACCGAAGGCCCCAGTGGCACCGCCTGCATGCGTCCCCACTACTCAGTACATCGTTTCGTGGCCCCATAGGGAGCTCCACCCACCGAAGCCACCACTGGCACCGCCCGCATGCGTCCGCCACCAACCAGTGCAGCGTTTCGCGGCCCCGTAGGGAGGTCCACAAAAAGACCCCAGTGGCACCGCCCGCAGTTGCCCCCCTCCCAGTACAGCGCTTCGTGGCCCCATCGGGAGCTCTTCCGAAGCGAAGGCCCCACTGGCGCCGCCCGCATGTGTCGGCCACCACCCAGTGCAGCGATTCGTGGTCTCATCGGGAGCTCCAACGAGGGGCACCGCCCGCATGCGTCCGCCACACCCGGTACAGCGTTCCGTGGCCCATAGGGAGCCCCACCGAAGGTCTCAGTGGCACCGCCCGCATGCGTCTCCCCCACCCATTACTGCAGGTCCCTACGCGCTTCGTGGCCCCATAGGGAGTTCCACCGAAAGCGTCACCCACAACGCGTTACTCACAATTGCATGTGGTTGGGTCGTTCGCCTGGATAATTGTTGTCGAGACAGCGCCCCGCGTTCTTTCCATCATTCCTCCTCTCCTCCTTCTCCCCCTCCTCCGCCTCCTCCCTCCTCCCCTCCCTGCCTCTGCCCTCCGCGCTCCCCATGCCCATCCACTGTCGGCACACCCCTCGCACGTCTCGCGGCCCCATAGGGAGCTCCACCGAAGGCCCCATAGGGAGCTCCACCTAAGGCCCCAGCGGCTGCGGTCGCATACGGTCACACCCCCATTTCGGCACATTCCTCACGTGTTGTGGCCCCATGCGATGCTCCACCGAAGGCCCCAGTGGATGCGTTCGCACGCGGTTCCACCCACATTCCAGCACACCCCTCACACGCTTCGTGGCCACATAGGAAGCTCCACCGAAGGCCTCAGTGGCTGCGTTCGCATGCGGTTCCGCCTCCATTTCGGCACACCCCTCGCACGCTTCGTGGCCCCATAGGGGGCTCCACCGAAGGCTCCAGCGGCTGATTCGCATGCAGCTAGGGAGCTCCACCGAAGGGAATGATCATATGGATGGGTTTTTCGCCCAGATAATTGTTGTTGCTGTTGGTTGTCGGTGGTGAGGGTGTCGCTGCTGTTGTTGGTGGTGATGGTATTGTTGTTGATGGTGTTGTTGTTGGTGGTGGTGGTGATGCTGGGTTTGATATTGTTGCTGTTGCTGCTGCTGCTGTTGCTGGTGTTGTTGGTGTCGTCGTGTATGTTGATGTTGTTGGTAAGCTGTTGGTGTTGTTGCTGGTGTTGCTGTTGATGCTGCTGTTGTTGCTGGTATTGCCTGTTGGTGTTGGTGATGATGATGCTGTTGTTGTTGCCGTTGTCGTTGTCGTTGTCGTTGTCGTTGTTCTTGGTGGTGGTGTTGGTGTTGCTGCTGTTGGTGCTGTTGATGGTGTTGTTATGGTCGTGGTTGTGGTTGTGGCTGTTGCTGCTGTGGGCCAATTGTGCCTCGGAAACCCTAGCCCCTCGGAAAGTTGCGATTCTCACTGGGATGGTGCCCCTCTGGAGGGGCAGGGGCCTTCTGCAGGCCCAGTGGGCCTGCTGAGGTTCGGGCGCCCTGGCCCCTCGGAAAGTTGCGACCCTCGCGAGGATGGGGCCCCTATGGAGGGGCGGGCTGAAGCACTCTGCTGCCTCTGTACTGTAGGCCACCTGTGGGTAGGGCGCCCTGGCCCCTCGGAAAGTGGCAATCCTCACGAGGATGGTGCCCCTCTGGAGGGGCTGAAGCCCTCTGCCGCCGCTGTAGACCAGTTGTTGTTCAGGCGCCCTTGCCCTTCGGAAAATGGCGACCCTCACGAGGATGGTGCTCCTCTGGAGGGGCTGCAGCCCTCAGGCGCCTCTGTAGGCCATTTGTAGTTCGGGCGCCCCCTCTGGAGGGGCTGAAGCCCTCTGCAGGCTCTGTGGGCTAGTTGTGGTTCGGGCGCCCTGGCCTCTTGGAAAGTGGCGACCTTCACGAGTAGTGTGCCCCTCTGGAGGGGGCTGAGGCCCTCTGCCGCCTCTGCAGGCCAGGTGTAGTTCAGGCGCCCTTGCCCCTCGGAAAGGGGCGACCCTCACGGGAACGGTGCCCCTCTGGAGGGGCTGAAGTTTTGTGTTGGTTCCGTGGCTTAGTTGTGGGTCGGGCGCCCTGGCCCTTCGGAAAGTGCCGACCCTAACGAGGATGGTGCCCCTCTGGAGGGGCTGCAGCCCTGTGCCGCTTCTGTAGACCAGTTGTGGTTCGGGCGCCCTGGCCTCTTGGAAAGTGGCGACCTTCACGAGTAGTGTGCCCCTCTGGAGGGGGCTGAACTCTGTTGCTGCCTTTGTAGGCCAGTTGTGGTTCGGGCGCCCTGGCCCCTCGGAAAGGGGCGACCTGGTGTCCCTTTGGAGGGGTGGAAGCCCCCCGCCGCCTCTGTAGGCCACCTGTGGTCCGGGCGCCCTCGGAAAGTGGCGACCCTCACGAGGATGGTGCCCCTCTGGA